CATTTTTTTCTTTTTAAATAACTGGAAATGATTAACCCCCTGTGAATGTCACTGATTTTTAAATATGCCACATGACAAATGAGTTTCTGATCTGCATTTCAGTTGTTTTTTATTTATTTTCGCTTTGAAAATAAATGCATACACAGATATGCTGTCACTTTCACACATAGTTTTCATCAAAAGTACCTTTCTTAACTGTGTGAATCACATGACTATTGACGTTTTGGATGATTGACAACTAATTAAGTTGCTGAAAATGTTTTTGTGTCCCCGCTGGATTCTGGAAAGCACGGCAAGCTTGCTCACCACAGTTAATAGTAATGACAGTGTATATGGAACCGGATGATTTGTGGACAAGGTGCGCACTGAGGCAGCTGTAACATGGTATATGTCGTCTCTGCTCCGACCTAGCATTAGTATGTTCTTGTTGATGGTTCCCATGACCCAGAACAAACGTCAAGTGATTTTCATGATCTGTTGGCAAAGCATTCTGTGAAAAGACTATAAATATTTTACATGTTAGCCCCCCTTTAAAAGTCTGAGAATGATGCTAATATATGGGAAGTACGTATCATAAGACTGATACTGGTTGTACTGTGTTGCATGAACAAGCACATACTTGTGGTTTTAGGGAAGAAGTGTAACAAATGGAATCCTGAAATTGTGAACTAGCCATGGTCATTCTTTGGTGGAATTTGCTGATGCACTTATCTTCCACTGAGCCGTGGAAGATAAGTGCATGTAGGAAGGAGATAAATGTACGAAGGAGATATGCTCCTTTCATGAACTAAATAGCTGTTTTTATTCAGTCTTATTTCATCCAGTCCTGGCACCCTTTTCTATCTCCAAGGCTGATTCTGAGGTGAATGCAGCATAACATGCAATAAATACAATTAAGACCTGGAATATTTGGGAAGGCTACAGAACAGGTCTATTATGCTATGCATAATATTTTGTCACTAAATGGTTTATTTAAAAAACAAGAACCATTTATCATACAATTATCATGCAGGTTTGTTGTCTGCTATTCTCTAATGTGCAGAGTACCAGCTCTACAGCTGCAGAGAAGTCAAACACTGCACAATAGAAAAGCTACTGTCTCTTTATAATCTAATACGGTAGCATCAAAATCCTTTATTAAAGGCAAAACAGTGAAAACCTGATAAGGATTCTAAGGGACGTGCGTCTGCTTACATCTGCTTTTCCCCCAACTCTGTCCAGGTCCAGAAAATGATTGTAACGGATCAGAGGTAATTGTATGCAAGCAGACACATGTCCATTTACAGCCAACCCTCTAAAGACCTAACATGGGTCTAGTTAGTGCAGTTTTTTCCTCCATCTTGGGACAGAGGAAAAAAACTCACCATACATGGATGTCACAAGAGTGACATCTGTTCCGTACTGCTTCGGTCAACAGGGGATCTGTGCTTGGATTCCCTGCTGATTAGGACAGATGGAGCCTGTGTGAAAGGGGCCTAACACTCTTCCACGCTATCCAAATCTGAATAAACACTTACAGGGTTATTCACTAAAAGGTGAAGAGTTTGGAGAAGGCAGGAGAAGTGAACAATCTAGGCCAAAATAGCGGATTTGGAAAATTCAGTTATGTTGTCCTAGATTGTTCACTTCTCCTCCCTTCTCCAAACTCTCCACCCGTTAGGGAATAACCCTGCCTTTGTCCTTTCTGCCTTTGTCCTTTTCATTAACCCCTTCAAGACCTATGACGAGATAATCCTGTCATGAAGTCTGAAGGGGTTTCACAGACAGTCTGTTCCGTTTTGTAGAGCTGGCGACCGGCTTTATAGTAGAAGCGATTTTGGCGGCTCAGCTTCGCCGATCCCACTCCCTGTACTATGGGATGCATCACTTACGGTCCCCTAGCTGTCAGTGCTGGGCTTTAAGCTATTGAAGTGCGATCTGCACTTCAATAGCTTATTTCAAATGTAAAGGTGACACTGGGGGTCTTTTGGACCCCCAGCATCACCTTAAAGAGTACTTGTCACTGCCAATATGCTATCACATGGGGGGGCTTGTAAGCCCCCCTATGCAGTAGCAATTAAAGTAAAAAAAAAACAGTTTAAAAATAATATTAAATTAATTAAATGTAAAAATAAAAAAAATGTAAGTCCCCGCCCCTGCGAGCACGCGTATTGTCACGTAAACACTGGTCGGGTGCGCCTACGTATGACACCAGGCCATCCTCTAAAGGCTTTGCCTCACTGTGGGTGCACATGCACTCACACCTGCCTGCTGCCATTCCTGAGCAAGCTCTGCACTGGTGGTGCCCCGATCCCGCAGCTGAATCAACCTTAAGATGGTCTTGGCGCTTGCTGGACTTTCTTGGGAGCCCTGAAGCCTTCTTCACAACAATTGAACCTCTCTCCTGGAAGTTCTTGATGACCCGATAAATGGTTGACTTAGGTGCAATCTTAGTAGCAGCAATATCCTTGCCTGTGAATCCCTTTTTGTGCAAAGCAATGATGACTGCACGTATTGCCTTGCAGGTAACCATGGTTAACCGAGGAAGAACAATGATTTCAAGCACCACCATCCTTTAAAGCTTCCAGTCTGTTATTCTAACTCAATCAGCATGACAGAGTGGTCTTCAGCCTTGTCCTCGTCAACACTGACACCTGTGTTAACGAGAGAATCACTGACATGATGTCAGCTGGTCCTTTTGTGGCAGGGGAAATTTTTTTTGGTGATAACATTAATTTTCATGGCAAAGAAGGACTTTGCAATTCATTGCAATTGATCTAATCACTTTTCATAACGTTGTGGAGTATATGCAAATTGCCATCATACAAACTGAAGCAGCAGAGTTTGTGAAAATTAATATTCGTGTCATTCTCAACACTTTTTGCCAGGACTGTAGACAAAAACAAGCACCTAATCCTTGCAGTGTGGGGGTAGCAAGGGTTAAGTAAAAGTTTTCCTGAAGTTCTTCTTTTAGGGCCTGTTCACACGACGTCCGTATTCTGTGCTTACCTGATCCGTACGCTCCTGCACTAAATATGTATCCCTATGTGTTTTATGGGCTACAGTTCTCACGTGCGCAGTCCGTTCCTGACTGAAAAAATACTGCATCTCATATTTTGTCCGGTCAGGAAACGCACGAACACATCAAAAACGGAACGCAATGCAGCTAAGCAAAAAAAAATTTATTCTTGCTCCACTTTTTATGATGTCATCATCGTTGGACTTCCTGGTTGTGGTGGAAAAAATGTATCCGGTTTATATGCAAATCCTCATATAAACTCCAGAGCTGACCCTTGGAGTCCCGGAGCCTCAAGATCGGGTGTACCCAATAACGACGCTTCCTGCAAGCTCGTTCTCTGCAGATTGCTGTAGCCAGCACCATCAACATGCCTGCAAACATGCGATACATGTCTGATCACCAGCTTTACATACACAAAGGGAAGGAGATGTTACGAGAGGGCGGAAGTGACCTCAGAGGAAGTATCTGCATACTGACAGCCCCACGGCTTGAAGAAAAAAAAAAAAACTGTCAGCATGCGAACCAAAAACGCGGCAAAAACACACTGCATGAGTAGCACCGCGTCTGCAGATCCGCAACTGATCAAGACCTGATCAGGACCTGAAAATCATGTGAACAGGCCCTAAATATAAAAAGAAATGACCTGGGTAAAGGCAACATGAAACCTAAAAATCATGTTATTAATCAGTTGATGCCTCTGGTCTGTGATATCAATGCTGCACTGCAGAGGCCAAGCTGACCATATTGAGCTATACAAAGACCATGCTTGAACAAATGGTGCTGACTCAAAAATTGCTTTATTTCCCAGCCTTGCTGTGCATATTGTCTGTATCACAATCATTTCCTATGTTCACTAAATTTCATGAAGACATGCTCACTCAATGCCCTTTTCTTTTTTTTTTCTTCCCATAAATGTTTGTAATGAACCTAGGTTGCATTAGTATTACAATTATACTATGCGTAATAGTAACAAAATTCTGTGTACACACACACACACACACACACACACACACACACACACACACACTATGAGCAGTTAACCCTTACAGTGCTACTGCTCGGAGTTCTTCATAGCATAGATTCAACAAGGTGCTAGACACATTCCTTAGTGTTTGGTCTGTATTGACATGAAAGCGTCACGCAGTTGCTGCAGATTTGTCCTCAACATCCATGATGCAAATCTTCTGTTCCACCAGATCCCAAAGTACTCTATTGGCTTGAGATCTGGTGACCGTGGTTCCCCTTTGAGTACAGTGAACTCATTATCATGTTCAAGGAACCAGTTTGAATTGATTTAGCTTTGTGACATGGTGCGTTATCCTGCTGGAAATAGACATCAGAAGATGGGTACACTGTGGTCATGGGATGAACATGGTCAGCAACTATACTCGGGTAGGCTGTGGCATTTGAACAAAGCTTATTTGGTACTAAGGGGCCCAAAATGTGCCAAGAAAATATTCCCCACACCAATATGCCACCATCACCAGCCTGAACCATGGATACAAGGCAGGATGGATCCATTATTTCATGTTGTTCACCCCAAATGCTAATCAGATCATCCGAATGTTGCACCGGAAATTGAGACTCATCAGACCAGGCAAAGTTTTTGAGCCCTTGTGAATTGTAGCCTCAGTTTCCTGTTCTTAGCTGACAGGAGTGGCACCCGGTGTGGTCTTCTGCTGCTGTTGCCCATCTGCTTCAAGGTTTGACATGTGTGTTCATAGATGCTCTTCTGCATACCGCGGTTATTTGAGTTACTGTTGCCTTTCTATCAGCTTGAACCCGGCTGGCCATTCTCCTTTGACATCAACAAGGCATTTTCGCCCAGAATGCGTTAACAAGCAGTTGAACGGGTGTACGCAATAAAATGGCCAGGGAGTGTGTGGATATATGTATTTGTACGTTATATATTACAAATGTTAATGTGATCAATTGCATTACATTTTAAAATTATTCATGCAGATTATTAACTTTCATTTTTTTTTATATTTTTTTTTTGCAGGCAGTAAATTAGAAGACTGCTCGCAATGGAACATACAAATGAAAGCTTTGTTCCAACTATTACTCAGCTTGAAGGATATCTCTCTGAACACAACTCCAATGTTGTTTGGCTACTCGTAGGTAAGTTCTAGTTTCTGCAAAAATAAAAATAAATATATACAGTAAATGCTCTGTTATCCGGTATTCAACTAACCAGAACTCTCATCTAACAAATGTTTTTTTCGTTCAGCCCGTGGGTTGAATGAAAAAAAAATTGAACAGTGTATGACCAGCTTTAGAAAGGCATTCAAGTACCTTACCTATTAACAAAAACTTCTCTTTTTTGTAACTAGTTAGGGTACTAGAATTCCTTTTTTTAAGATTTTAACTCCTGAGGTTAATGTCACTTAAAAGAAAATTGGTTATTTGAAAATGTATCCTCTTCTGCACCCTCACTTTCTCCTATCTATAATCTACAAAGCTACAACTGGACTTTAACCACTTCACGACCCATGACGGTATAATCCCATCACAAATCCTCAAGGGGTTAAACAGACAAAAGCCACCAGGACTCTGTTCATACTTATAGAGCCGGCGGTCGGCTTTACAGTAGAATCGATTCTGGCGACTCAGGTGTCGCCAGATCGCTTCTATGATCCGGTAAAGTGACCGCCCCGCCCGACACCTGCTCCGTTTTTCCTGGGCTCCGCCGTCGCTCCTACAGACCCGGGACTGTCATCTCGGGTGGCGACAGGAAGCTGGGGAGGAGAGTGGTGAACGTCCGAAACATTCTATGGGACCGAGAGCGACGCGTATTGCATCACTTCCAGTACTTTAGCTGTTATTGCTGGGCTCCTGAAGCCCAGCAACAAGCTATTGAAGTGCAATCTGCACTTCAGTAGCTTCTTTAGCATGGAAAGGTGATGCTAAGGGTCTTTTTGACCCCCAGTACCACCTAAAGAGGACCTGTCACCACCAATGGTTATATGGTAATTTGTTTAGCAATAATTATTCTGCATTACAAACTGGTAAACAAAAAGGCGTTTACAGATCAGCAGATTCTGAACAAAATGGACTGGGATGTGCTGATTTACTACAGCTCTGCCTGGATGAAAAACTAGAGCACTGTGTTTCTTGTATGCACCTCAAGTCTCACATTTTCAATAATGCTTTATGTGCACCTTTCAAATGCTTTCTGTAAAACTTACATGCTTTGAGAGTTGTTGCAATTTAGAAAGTTTAGATTTATGGGGCTATTCAAAAACCATTTTGCCATGTTGGATTTTTACAAGCTCTTTGCTGATTATAAAATGATACATGGGAAGCAAAACACAGTAAAAATAAATAAAACAAAAATTCAGGCAATGTGGAAAAAACAGTTGTGCTCTAACCTTGGATATTTTTCTCCCTTTGAATATCTTTAGGTTTGCAGATACCAGAAATGTAAGGAATTAAAGGTGCAGAATCAAAGATAAAAAATGTTGAAATTAAAAATTTACCTATTCATCAATAGACAAAATCCTTTAGAGAAATAGATTTCACCATGATTTAAAAATGAATCTGGAATTTTGCCTCTTGTACTTTTTTTTGTTTCTGGTTATCAAAATGACAGCAAGTGAGGTGAAACCTCCCCAATGGTATAATGAACAGAAATAATAAACTCAAGTATTTACTTATATCAAGTCTATCTAAAACTTACAAAAAAAAAAAAAATGTCTAGAGGGGGCCTTTAAGTTAAGCACATCTAGAAGGCTGAAATTGTGGTTGATTTTTGAATGTTCCAGTGGCTTCAATTATACTAGCATTCTTCGTATCACACAAGGATTTATCACAAGCTTTTTTTGTCTTGTTACAGCTACCATCTTGTCCTGCGGATGGATTATTTATCTAACTTATTACAATTCCCGGAACATAGGACTTATTTTAACACTGGTACTAAACCGACTATACAAACATGGATACATACACATTGGTAAGTGATCTTTTTTGAAGCACTTAGAAACATGGTGTTGTACCTTTTTTGTTTATCATCAACAGAAGCAAGAAATATTTTTTTAATATTTTTTTATGGGTAACTAATAAATATTGCATATAAACTTTAGGTAGTCTTTATTTAGCCAGTAGGCAGAGCTCTTGGCTCCTTTTTCACCTGTTTACTTTCAATGTTTATCTGATGTGCTGAAAAAGCTCCTTGTTTACAGAGATCAATGGTTCTTTAGCTCATTCCCACACTTGTAGCTGCTGATATTTGCTGTTAGTTTGACAGCGAAGGTCCTGTTCTGAGCCAGTTCAGCTATGATTGCGGGAAACAGTGATTCCCTGGAATCTCAGTACAACTCAGTAACTATACCTGAGATTGTAGTCCGCAAATGGAGTGAGCTTGGAGCGGTGGTTACTTTATAACATACACAGGGACCATGGGGAACAAAAGTAGCCACCCTCCAGCAGGGGTGAAATAAAAAAAAAACGACTTTAGTGGGGGCCCAATCTACAAAAAATAATCTTAACCAAACCTGTATTTAACAGTGCTAATTTGCAAGCGAAATTTTGTTTCTGCGTTTTTCTTCTTTTTATCCGTTAGTTTTTTAGTGTAACCAAATAATAAAAACGCATATGCAAAACACGAAAACAAGCCTTTACATTTGTGGAAATAACTTTGTCATACTTTATCTTAGAATCACTAGGGGCACATTGCAGAATAAAATGACCCTGTATTTCTATAGTGACGCAGTTATATATCTGCAGTTATATATTATGGGTCAAACTGAAATTGCTTATAGAAAATGAATAAATCTTTAAGGACTATAACACCAAAAGAGAGCTCAATTGGTCCCCACAAACGTGGCTCACTTCTGTATAAGTAATAATAATGTTTTTATTTCAATGAATAGACCTGTAGCTACACCTTGAAAACTAGTTAAGCACAGATGAGTCAGAGCTGTGAGCAAGCTAGTCTTCTCTTCCCTGCCCGGCCAGTCAGTATTTCTGTACAGCTAGGCAGAGAAGAGAGAGCCTGTGAGCTCTTCTGCTGTGCTCTCTTTATAGAACACATAAAATGCTGGGTGACGCATGTGTCATGGCAAACCTCATACTCAGTCTTTATTTGTCAAACAGGTTTTATAGAAATGTTATAACGGCTATAAAACATCAGAATACTTAAACTTTGCACCACTGTTTGGACCAATTCATGCTACTTCGATAAAGAAAATAATCTATTATACTATTTATGTAAACAGCCAGATAATTAGCTTATTTAAAGGGTCAGCAGTCGCAGACTTCCTTTTTCTCTTTGTACAGTTTGGCTTTAAAGGGAAAGTATAATGAAGAGAATTTATCAAAACTGGAGCAGACAAAATCTGCAGCAGCTGTGCACGGCATCCAATCAGCTTCTCTGTTACATTTTCAAATCCTAAATGAACAAACTGAAGAGAGAAGCTGCTTGGTTGTCATTGGTGACTGCTCCAGATTTTGTCTGCTCCAGTTTTGATAAATTCCTCATCATGTGTTTTCAGTGAGCATGTACTTTGTTATTTATTATAGTGTTTCTTAAATTAATGTTTGGATTTGTACAAGTTTGCCCTCCCATTCTTTAGTTGTCTTAGTAAATAGAGATTTGTAAATTAGCCACTCGAAGGAGCTCTCAGTGACTTAATAAAACAAGAGAGTTTCAATGAGTTGACTGGCTTTTTGATTCAAAGTGACACTACACTAGATTCTCAAATCATCTCCGAATTCATGCTGACACTGTCCTTCCTTTTGGAGGGTGGCTACTTTTCTTCCCCATGTTCCCTGTGTGTGTTGCAAAGTAGTCACCGCTCCAAGTTCACTCCCATCATGGACTAAAATCGCAATACAAATTGGCAAACTAAATGTGAGGTTGTAGTCCATCACAGGAGCAAGCTTACTTTACAACACACACAGGTAACATGAGTTTAGCATCACTTTCATTGTAATAAAGAGTATTGTAGGAAGCAGAGTCTGCATATGTAATGAACAGCTATGGCTCAGTTTATGTACATATTTTATTACAAATCATAAATGAAAACAGAGTTTTTAAATCATTAGCAAAAATCAATGAGAGTATTTAGATAGCATTCTACAAACTTTGGCAAATAGACAGTTATGGCCCCTCAGGGCCCTGCATGTACTGAATCTGATACTTAGAATGTATTACACTTTGGGTAAAAGAAAATCTGCAGTTTGACTACCACTCTTGCAACAGGTTGTGTGTGTTTACCTAAGATATTCTGTACTTTCATCTAAAATAAATTGATAAACATCCTAGAATATAGTGCTTGGGCATTGTAGTTTTCATTTAGGCCTGTACTGCTGATGCCAGAACATGCAGCTTTCCTGCTGACAAGATAATAAAAGCCTAAAGCTAACAGTGACATCTATGTTCCTTTATTTATTTCTTTAAGTCAGGCTTACTGAACCCTTGTCCTTTTGTCTAGGGAAGAATGGTTTTCTGTAAGAGTTCTGCATGAATCAGTTTTCCCACTTGTCTATATCTGTATAAAACATCTTACTGTCACTGTGTCATTTATAAAGAGTGACAGAAAATTAAAGAAACCCTTTCCAGAGAAAATGTAAAGCTGTAACAGCAACCACCCTCTGGTGCTTGCATGCCCCATTTCAATACCTTCCCGATCACCCCGTGGTCCCGCAAACTTGGCTGGCTCCTGCTTCTGTGTCTCTCTGTTGGTCCTTAAAGGAGAACTATGGGGTCAGGGCTTTTCCCCATAGTTCTCCTAAGGGTAACAAGAGGACACAAACTAGCGTCCTCCCGTCACCCAAAGCTCAGTATACCAGGAGCTACAGCTCCCAGTATACTGAGATGCTGCAGCCCGGACAGATCCCGACATTACAGTCTGGATCCACCCAGCTGCATGAGTGACAGCTGGCTCTGCCTTTCTACCCGCCCCCACCCCCGTCCGTTCCGCCAGTCAGTGAAGTGAAGAGCGACGGTATGTGTTCGTTCACTTCCCGATCTATTGAGACGACCTGTGACAGTTTCATTGTCACAGGTCGGCTAGAACTAATGAGGCTGAGTGATTTTCACTTGCCTCATAGTTCTCCTTTAACTCTTTTGCTGCCAGAGTTGTTTCTGCATTTTTTTTGCACATGTGCTAAAATGTACATTTTAGGCGTGAAAATTGCTTAAAGGGTTAATTCACTTTTAATTGTGTAGCCCTATTGTGGTGTCAGGTCCTTTAAGAGGAAAG